TACGACAATCCCGATTCAATTAAGACAAAATATTTGCAAAATATTAACAAACTCAACAAGTAATCCGTGCTACAGTTACCAAAGTTTTGCACGCGGAGGCTACCTTCACGGCAGCTTTAATTTCTGAAATACTTGCTCTCCCTCCCCTAGAAACTTTTACCAGTGTGGTCGCAAATTTCAGCTCAGTGGACAATTACTTATCTTACTTTACCGAATCTTTACCAAAACCTCATAATATTGACACTCGTTAATAATTTTGTCACCAACTTATTTCCAGAGCATTACTGCATAACGTCGAGGGAAGGATTATCCTTAACTAATATCAAACTTACATATGAGAGCAAACCCAATATTAATCCGACCATGTATTTGAGTTCACATAATGAAATACACTGTTGACGTATGCATCAGTGGGGTCAGTTTCCCACTAAATTCTTCCCCACCCTCGCAAACCTAAGTAAAGCAGAGGAGGAATTTACATATGCAAGTTAACAGGATTTACTCTCTGACGTGATGCAAGTGATTATGTAATGTTGGATAGAATGCATCTCCCATTTTAAAGCTTGGGTAGGGTTGCAAGTCTCATTTTCGAAAGGAAATCACAAACTTACACTTGTATAAATTTCCAATTCACTCGTTTCCAAACTATGGAACAATTGGGGTTTTCATTTCACGTCACCTTCGGAACTGTAAGGAAACTTGGTAGATTTAGAAAATTTACGAAATTTCATACTTACGAAGCTTCGTAAATATATGCAAGGTTGATGCGTTTTTTTCTTTTGTAAAAATTTTCGTAAGGATTAAAATTTAGGATATTTTGAGTACCGATGTCATTGGGCAAAGATAAGTTAAGAATTTAAAAAAATGTGAGAATATTGGTTACGAAGGTCTTACACGTCTATCCTTTGTAAATTACGAAGCTCGTGACAAACACGTTAGCAAAACAAATCTATTAACTTTGGAAAAATAATATCTAGCTACATAAAATATGTTACCGGCCTGGTAATCATACAATGACACAAATTCTCTTTATGAAAATTTATAAAAGTTTCCACAAACATTACGAAGGAAAATTAGAGTCCAAACCAACCCAGATTACGAGGATCTCTCAACTTTGTAAATATTTTACTTATCTATTTACACGGTTAACGTACAAATATCCGAAGTTTATTTTACATACAGTTTCAGAAACTAAACCCTTCATTCTCAAGTAACAATAATGCATCCGAAACTGTGCACCGATCAGTAAGTAAACATTTCCTCGTTGAAAGTGACTATGTGAAATGCAGCAGGCTTGAGAATTCATTTGGCATCTCTTGGTGCTAATTTGACTGCACCATTCACCCCTACCCTCACGCTGGGGATGCTGTGCAACTGAATTATTTCTAATCGGAATAATAATGTGGACCCGGACTTTACTTTGTATGCATGCGATTAGTTGAGGCACACTCTAAATAATTCGCCGATGCTAACATTTGTTGGGCATCAATTTTCAGGAAAACTAGAGTTTGGTACTACTTCTAATTTAGAGAAATTATTAGCCGATCGGTAACTTTTTATTACCGTACTTCAAGTAAGTGACAAGCTTGCATTACTTTGAGGCAATTCATGCAGGTTTTGGTAACTTCGTAAAATCCGTAAACTTGCAAACTTTTACAAATATGTATTTCTAAACAAATTTATTTACAAACTTTTATAAACTTAGGCGTCTTTTTTGTTTCGTAAAAGTTTGTAAAGTTAGGTTACAAAATTACTAAGTACTACGTGAATTACTTCTACGGTTTTCAATAGTTTCGTCACTAATTTAAATTTCGGCATAAAGAAATTGTCCATTCCATAATATAAGTATGGCAGAAGAAGTAATTTAAAAATAAATGGAATTCAATAAATTGATTAATTGCTAATATAATTCATCCACATACTTGCAGCCTCGCAATATCTCTTAAAAAGTTCCAAATGTTTTCACAATAAATAAATTAGTACACAAATTCATTGTAAAATTACACACGTGTATCGAAAGGATCGCTAATTTTTATAGAAAAGTTGTGTAAAACGACGTCACAAACCTTACCCAGTTTACACTCCATCCGGGCGAATAACTTACCTCATTTTGTAGGGAGCACGTCTGGACTGGTGAATAATCAGGCATAAATTCTTAAGCAGGGGGAAAGTATGTGATGATGGTGTTGTAGGCCCGTTGGGGATTAACAAGCAATTAAAATTAAATGATGTTTGTTGGACTTTCGAGAAGCTGTGAGAGTGAAAGTGAGGAAAAGCACCGTGTAACGCCAGCCAAGTAGCAAGTTACCTTATTTTACTATGTATTTTAGAGGATACGAACAAAGTATAAATTAAATTAGTGAGAATTTACATCCAAATTTTCTCCTCCTCATCGTCTCATTTACAAAAGTGTGTTACTAATTTTGGAGAAATTAAGTATTTTTTGAATGATAAGTGTGTTGAAAGTACATAAAGTTGGGGAAGAATTCGGTAAAAATTTGAATTTTTGAAAAATGTCAAGGATTGTCGCCGTTATTGTGTTTCTTAAAAAAAATAAAAATTGATCAAGTTTAATCAGATCCCTTTTCGATTGACAGGTTAGGTTTTTCTTAAAGGTTATTAAAGATAAGTGTTTATCCTTAATAGCCTTTAATTTTCGTTTCGTTGCTTAAACGAATAAGTATGAAAGTATTTCGTTGAAACAAAAGTTGGGGAAGAATTGAGTGAGAATTTCACAAATTTGCGAGGAAAATTGATAAGAATCTTAACTTGTCAAGGATTTTTGCCGTTAGTGTTTTAAGAAGAAAATAAATAAATAAATAATGAACTTCAACTTGATGGGATTTTTTCAATGCTTGCAGCGTATACAGCAATAGTATTATGCCAAATGTACACGGATGGTGGCCGCCATTGTCACACTACATCATCCAGTTCTACGCACCAAATAAATGTTTTCATGCTTTTCGAAAACATTTAAAATATTTTTGACAATTGGATATGCCTGCATACATGTTCATAATGTCAAATATGATTTTATTTTGAAAATTAAAATTCATAAAAATTCATTTAACTGCATGATGATGGTCATGCAGTGTATATATGGAGAAAGCTCTCCCACTTAAACACTGCATAACCATCAAACCTTTCACCGTCATGGCAGCACCCTACCGTGTACATTTTGAGATTTCTCTCCTTGCCTCTATTGTTATAAACTCTGTGGACTTTTTCCATTGAGATTACGTCGTTATTAAAGGAATCAAATAAGCGAATAAGTATTTACGCTTGGTGAAACCAAAGCTTGGGGAAGAATTTGGTGAAAATTTCATAAACTTGTGATGAACATTAGCGATGAAAATTTGCGATGAATTTTAATTAAAACAATGTCAGGCATTTTTGCCGTTAGTGTTTTGACTAGAAAATATTAATAAGAATTTAATTTAATCAGGTTATTTTTCTCGAAGCAGGTTTTTATTAAATGCATCGGATAAGTGTCAGTACGAGCACGGTTGTTCAGCTGCCAAATTTCGAATAAATCGGCAAATACCTGCTCTGCAAAAGTGTCGTCCTAAAATATTTAAATAAAATCCCAAACGTGTGAAATGATTAAAAATGAATGAACAGATCGCTAACAATCCTTATGATTCAAATTTTGTCAAAATTTTGTTCAAAATTTTAATCCTAATATTCTCCACGTATTTAGCTAACTTTCTCCCCGTTGAGAAACCACCCGTATGAAAAAATAGTTGCCCACGTAATCTCCATTTCAACCCTGGCACATCCTCTCCCGGATTCGGGGTGTACTTCCGGTAAAAAATGTGGGATTTTTCCCCCTCCAAAAAACTGTCACAAGACGCCATCTCCAGAAAAATATTAAGATCGAGACCAGGGAAAAATCCGATTTCGCCACCCTCGGGAACTTTTCCGGGTAGCGAGATCACAAAAACCCGGGAGACTCTGTCACATAAAAGAAGCACATGCTTTCCACTTTCACGTGCCAGGAGAAAGTAAACTCCTCGTCGTCTTCGTCTGTTTGTGTATTAAAGTTGAATAATTTATTGTTTTACATTACTTAAATATGATGACAACATTTGCATAATTATGTGTTTTATTAAATTTATTACGGGTAGAAAGGAAATCGTAAATTATTTACATATATTTTTTATCAAGGTATGTTTTTCCATGTGCTCAAAATAGTTGGTAAGAAAATTGTCATCGCGTTGTTGCTAACCGAAAATAGGTTTCGGCAATTTGTTACCGGAATTTTTAGCCGAAATTTGAGTTTGTTAACGTTCGGTTGCAATTATTTACCACGTGGCAAATGACTATTTTGTGGGTTACAATTTTGGTACCAACTAATTTTGAGTATGGAATTGCAAAAATTTTGTACATGAAGTCAGCTAATTTTGGCGAAAGCAAATAATTTCTACAAGCTAAATGTACACATTTGAATATTCCTGTTTTTCAAAATTTACCAGGATATTTATTTACAATGTTCATGCATTTTTTTCAAAATTATTCTAGTCATTTAATCCATGCATATATTAAATACTTTCCCTTAATCCAAACTATTTTTACTTTCACTTTACATATTTCACTCAAAGTTACAATTTAATACGAATATTTCTTTAAACGACGGATTTGTATTGTATTGAAATCGAGGTAGACAAGTCTCAAAAACTTAAACGAACTAAATTTTAAAACTAAAGTGCAAGATCTGTCCTATTTCAAAATTTTGAAATATTCCAAAAAGAATTATATTTAAATCGAGGTAGACAAGTTTAAAAAACTTACGCAATTTCAAACAACCGCAAATTCTGTCGTATTTCAAAACTTTGAAATATTAAAAAAATTGTATTTCAATCGAGGTAGACAAGTTTCAAAAATTTAACGAAACCCAATTTTAAACAGCTCAGATGCAAAATCTGCCCTATTTCAAAATTTCGAAACATAAAAAAAATCAAATCCGGCATTGTTCTTCTCCAAAAAATTAAATTTTTCTCTTAATACGGTCTCCACACCCCATGCGTAAGCTCACCCGCCCCACCACCACCCCCGCCAGCCCCATTCCCCCCACTTCCTCCCACCGAACCCACCATCATCCCGCCACCAGGATGAATCCCGCCGTGCTGCCCACGTCCCCCAATCCCGCCACCCATACTTTGCCCGTGCTGGTTTAAAATCCCATTTGACCCCGAACTAGATCTCGCCAAACTTTGATGATGGGTGGCGCCACTTTGGTGGTGAATTTGATTCTGTGGATTTCCCGCGGTTCCACTGCTATCAAAATCATTGAGGTAGAGTTGCGAATAGAAGAATGCAGAGGCAGCCGCCGCGGCGGGAAAGGAGCCGAGATAGGACATTGAAGATCCCGCCGAGGAGGAGGACGAGGAACCACCCCCGCCGGAAATGCCTTGATTTTGGAGGAGCTGCTGCTGATGGTGGTTTTGCTGTTGTTGTTGCATTAGCGACGTGTTTGAAGGGGTCAGAATGTTGGCGGACGAGGAGGACGAGGTCGACATGTTGTTACCGTGTTGGTTTTGATGGTGGGTGTGGAGCGGTTGGGATTGTTGGTGGAGGAGGGATGTTGTATTTTGCACCTGGGGAAAGTAAAATGATTAGGTTGGAGTAAAATTGCTTCGGTGTGTTGACATTACTATTGTGAATTCTCGAAGTAAACCGGATAGATTTGATTTGAATTTCAGCCCGTCTTCAGTGTTAATCAAATGGGCACGTGATTTTGGCGCGTACAAAATCTGTCCGGTTTACTTCGCAACATCACAATAGGCGGCTTTAAGGCGATGTGGCGCAGAAAAATTGGTCAATTTCTCAATATAGAGGTTGAAATTTAAATATTGCTACCGTCTGGAGGTAATACGTTACCAACAGAGTAGCGTGCGTACAATTTTGTCCGTAAGTTGTAATAAAATTTCTTGAAGATGGACCACAAATTGTAAAAAAAAGTTTTTGGAAGATTTTGTTACGCGTACTTCAAATCTAGCGTTACTGAATTATCATGGAATTATATATAAACTCATTATCGAGCAATGCTCACATAGAATTGAGGTACAAGTAGCACTTAATTTTGTGTAAAATTTTCTTTACGATGACTGACTTTCACTTATTGCGTTAAAAAATAATGAGGGTATTCATTATTTCTTCATATCCTTAGTATTAATGTCGTAAAATAGTTGATGAAGAAAAAACAAGGGGTCTGGTTTCGTAAAAATTGTAAGCATAGTCACGTGAGAAAACCTTACGACGCTTACAAAATTTCGTAACCGTCGTATGTAAGTTATTTTACGGTACGACGAATACTAAGGATACGAAAAAATAATGAATACGCTCAATTTTAGCAAAATACATTTTTATCGAATTGCGTAGCCATAAGGGACCGAATACGTGACTTATCTACCCACCTATTTCACTAATAAGTTTACTTAAATGTTTTACTTAAAGGTGTCCAAGATTGTCAAACTAAAAATTAGCACAAACTTAAAAAATGCTTACAAATCTAAATTTTATACATCTCCTACATATACACCTGATTGCTAATGCTTTATATCTTCGCATAACCCCATCCCTCCACAGGTGACGAAATTTGCCAATTGTTTATATTTATTACGAATTCAAAATCTAAAAATGGGGACCCAAACCATATTCAACCCAGATTATTTCCAGAAGACCTCAGTTTGATGGACCAACTGTTTAGAGACAACATTTAGGATTAGTGCGGAATTTATGCAGGTGCGAAAATTTCTTTAAATTTCGCAAGTTCGCGAAAACGCTCGGTTTTCATGGACGAATCAATGCAGAAAAAGTCTGAGCTGCAGCAACGCACAAATTCTGGTCGAAAACCGAGCGGAAAGTTTTCGCAAACTTGTGACGCCCATAATTCGCAGAATTTTTCGTATCTGCTCAAGTCCCGCACTTAATACTTTTCTAAGGAGGTGCTCTTTCAACCTTACATGGTCAAAAAAATAATCTGGGTTGAACATGGTTTGGGTCCCCATTCTAAGCACAAAATTGTATGAATGACAGTTTCAATATCTTTACTCACCTGGAGATGCGTCTGTCCATAAAGTTGCTGCTCGTCCCGACCAAAATCTGCTGTGGGGCTGCCCAACCCGCTGTGCAGATAGCTGCCCGCACCGGTGGGTGTGGTTCCTCCGGTGCCCGATCCCACCAACCCGCCTTGCCCATTCGAACCACTCGCTATCCTTTGTTGCTGTTGCTGTTGTTGCTGCTGCTGAAGTTGTTGTTGTTGCTGGTGGGAGGAGGCTTCTCGCACGAGTGGGGGTGCATTGTTGTTATTTGAGGTGGAACTTACACCCCCAGAACCCCCCGCGGAGAGGAGGCGGTCAGTCGCCGCGCCGAGCGGGTCGACATCACTGGCTGGACTTACGCCGCTGTCGGCTGTGAGAACTACAGAAAATTGGGGAGTTTAAAATAATTTGAAAATTTTATAGATATTTCGAATGAAAATCATTTAGCCCATGAATTTTTAAAAACTTAGTCAAACCAAAGGCGTATTTTTATTTTGTAAAAGTTTATGAAATTATTTTATAAAATTTAAGGGTTTTACTAGTTACGCATGAACTAGAATTAAATATGTATCTATGTACCTCAAAAAAAAAAGTTGAAAATTTGGAAATTGAAAAAATTTATATTAAGAAGATAAAATTTGAAAATTATATTTTATTAAGAAATATTACGCATTAATTTTAAGCATGTCGATGCAATGCCCAATGATCGATTCGAATATTTGTAACTCATGATAATGTCAGTTTAGTTTACAAAGGTTTCCACAAATTGTAACGATCCCGAAGGAAAATCGGGTTACTAATCTATCATAAATTGATACAGACCAGGTGCAAACACAACTTTTTAAAATTTGAGAAGCTGTAAGGGAGCAATTGTTCTGAGTCCCACTGCAAGTACCTTACATATTTGGGAGGATACGAACAAATTCGAAATTAAATTAGTGAGAATTTACATCCGCATATTTAGCCTTCCTCGTTCCATTTACAAAAGTGTGTTACTAATTTTTGAGAAAATAAGTATGCACGTATGCACGCGTGTTGAAAGTAATTACATAAACTGGGAAACAATTTGATGGAAATAAGTTGCAATTTTTGAAAAATGTCAAGGGTTCGTGCCTTTAGTGTTTTAATTACAAAAATTAATTATTGTTCAAGTTAGATCAGATATTTTTTTCAATCGAAAGGTAGTGTAGATTTTAAAATTAAATATATCGGATAAGCGAATCAGTATGCACATAACCGTGTTTAAACAAAATTTGGGGAAGTATTTGGTAAAAATTTCAGAAATTTGAGGCAAATTAGCGATAAATTTTAATTTTCGAAAAAATGTCAAGGATTAACACCCTTATTGTTTTATTTAGAAAATATCAATGGTTAATGAAATTTATTCAGATGCAATTTGTCTTTTGATAGATTACGTTTTATTAAAGGGATCGGATAAGTGAATAAGTATCTACATGATATGCGTGTTGAGAGAAAATTTGGGTAAGTATTTGGTAAAATTTCAGAAATTTGAGCCAAATTTGCGATGAATTTTAATTTGTACAAGGAATCGTGCCGTTATTGTTTTGTTCAGAAAATATTAATTATTGGTTAAGGTGAATTAGATGTTGGTACTTTTTCAATAGTTATATTAAGTTTTTAAGGTATCGGACAAAGGTAATATTTAGTGTATTCAAACAGATTTGGTGCGCTAACTTTGATAAAACTTTGTAAAATTTTGCAATAATTTGTTGCAGTTTACTGGGATACAAAAATTTGAAAGAATTGCTTTGCTGTGATTTTCCAAACTGTGGAGAAAGCACAAGTGAAAGTTCTTCGTGCATAAGAAACCTTAAAATTTTGGGGCTGAAATTTATGAAAAATTATTTGTTACGTAAAATTTTCTTATCATTGTGCAACAAATAGTTACACGTCAGTAAAATTGATTTTGTGCGTAAAACCGAATTTTAGTGATTGCCTGAAAATCGATGCTGAATTTAGTTTCTGTGGTTTATGTTCCACACGATTGGATTGATGAGTAACGTGACAAGGAAAAATTCAATTATTAAAATGTAACAAAAAATCCAATTATTTCAACCCTTGAGTGAAACGGTGATTACAATGATCGATTTTTTTAGAATTTCGAAATTTAAATTTTGTTGAAAGTAACAGGAGTTATAAGATCTCTTATTCTCTAAATTAATTTATCCATTGGTCCTACTCTGTTTATAGTTTTAATTTTATTTAGTTCTGCTAAAAGTTGTAGTGTAAAAGTAGAATTTCAAAATTTAAAAAATTGTACGAATTTTAAGCTCTTTTAAAAATTTAGCGTAAAATTATTACTAAATTACATTAGATTCTATTTACGATACCTGAACACCTTAATTTTTCGGTAATACTCGTATTATTCATTAATTTCTAAAATGGAGTTGAAGTCTCTCAAAAACAAATCTATTTAAAAGGTTGTAATGAGAAAGTATGTGTGACTAGGGGTGGTAATCCGTATCCTAAATTAACCGATCCGTAGGATAGGATCGGATAAATACAGGATCGGATCGGATCGGATTTGCTCGCTTTAGGATCGGATCGGCTCCCGGTTCTACTTGAAATCCGATACGATCCGATCCTAGGATCGTAGGATATCCGCGGATGATATGTGTGAGACACCTTGTGTCTAACTATGGAAAAACTTTACCAGCTGCTTTTCTTTATTTATTGGAACGGTTTTTGGTGAGTTCATCACATGGCGTACATTACCCGAATGAGCCGAATTATCCTATTATTTTACACCAGTTATTTTTGTTTTGGCGTTCAAATTATTCAATTTCCTATGATTTCAACGCCAAAACAAAAATAACTGGTGTAAAATAATAGGATAATTCGGCTCATTCGGGTAATGTACGCCATGTGATGAACTCACCAAATGTGAAACGAGTTTACATCGGATGATCCGAGGATCCTGTGCGATCCTAGGATTTCATCGGTTCGGATCGGATCGGATTGTCTGATCCTCGGATCCTTTATCCGATCCGTGTGAAAATCCGATCCTATCCGAGTTTTTACGATCCTAGGATAGGATCGGTTACGGATTACCATCACTATGTGTGACGCACAAGCGTAACTTCGTAAATCTTCAATATTTCTATTCTGAGCGTGTATTTACTAGTATGTTAATTTTTTTCATGCGAAGGGATTTTTTTGGTCAGTAAAGTAAAAAGTTAAAAATTATTTGAAGATCTTAACGAAATTTTGTTCCTTTACATAAAATTTGTAGGTTTGAATTTGTATTAAAAAGTTAACAAAAGTTATTAAAACTTTTATTAAAAAGTTTGTGCTCTTTTTGCGTCTCAAAATTTTTGGCACTAGGCCGATTAAAAAATATCGAACAATTCGATATCTGTAATTACCAAGTTTGCAAAGTTGTATGAGATTATTCAAAACAAAGCCTAAAGGCTTACAAGGGGACAATTCACGCAGGCCTTGGTAGAATTGTGAAATTCGTAAATTCTGTAAAGTTACAAACTTTTATAAAATTTTGTAAATTTTCAAATGAAGGGAATGTGAATGGAGTTCCCTTCCTTTATTAAGAATCACCCATTTTTTTCAACTTTGAACCTCAAATATTTTGACAAATTCCAAACATCGCACAAACCTCTTCAAGAAACCTTGGTTGTATTGACTTAGACCACACAATTCTAAAATTTCAACCAAATCGGAGGGTTACACGTCACACCATCGTATTGTCAGATCAAGAACGTTTTTTTACTTTAAAAACGTTTATAAACGTATTTTCCAAAATTTGCTGATTTTACAAATGTCTGCGTGAATAATTATTAAATTATTAATCATTAAATATGCGACCTGATTTTCTTTCCTAATCTTTGCAACCTTATAGAAAGCTTACGGTTTTCTTGCTGGGTTACAAATATCCGAGTACTTTAATATTACAAAGTTTTCCTTAATATTGTTACTAAATAAATATGTTGAATTTGTCAACTGCTATTTAAGAATTTCTAATCATGTTTCTTATTACCTGAAGAATTCGATGCGGGCGTGGACGAGTTGTACTCAGGTCCAGAAATGGAATTCATTGAAGTCAGGTCGGGCAGCAAACCCCCCGCAGCCGAAAATGAGCTCGTCGTCCCCTGCGAAAAGTTAAACGAAATGTGTTGAATTAAGGAGGAGTTTCATAATGTCTGAAAAAAGTTTAATATTGCAAAAGTGCAAAAATTGTAACTTTGATGCGCCACAAAATTAAAAGTAAAAAATAATAATTACTAAACAGGAATTCAGATTTTGATCTACGTCAAAGTAACTGCAATAATATTAAAAAGATGAACTCTTTGTTAAAGTTTACAAAAATGGTTAATTAATAATTCGTGTTTATTTTATTATTATTTGGAGTGGTAAACTTTAAGAATGATTGTAAATATTATCCAACTTTGTGCGTAATTACAATGACGAGATATAACAAATTCGAATTTTTTAAACTAAATAATATTATGTGAAGTTGAAATTTATACGTCAGATAAAAAATCATTTGCGTATGCAATTCTTAAAATTAAGTATTCATCGTCATCTACTAAATCCTAATTTCAGAGTAATTTTCGAATTAATAATTCTACCAAAATTAGTATTTAGAGAGGTGTTTGCTGTCATAATTGTCGTCATTGCATTACAAATAAATAAGATACCTTAATGAGAAAAACAACATTTTGACAATTAATTTATTCTTACAGAAATTTTCAATTGTTTTAGGGAATTTTGTTTGAAAGAATTTAATTAAATTCACTTGGAATTTACACATGGGAAAATGAATTACCGAAATAAAGTCATAAATACGCAGATCAACGGTCATCTGATTTCATTAGCACCAAATCCATATGAATTTTATTTCTCCTTACCATCCCCTCATTAATTAATATAGTTTATTAATGAGTTTTGTGTATTAAATACTTTATCAAAAAGCAACTAGCCAAAAAATTGTACTTCAACTAATTCAAAAATTCAGTTTTCCTTATATCAAATTTTTCAATTCGTTGCAAGTTTAGTATTCTGACAAAAAAAATTAAACACTGCCCAATCATGCTTGCTCTTTTCTACTTACAAAGTGTGTCACGCTGATAAATGGTGAACTTGCCATGGCACAAAGTACACATTTTATGCGGCATTTATAAAACCACCCCCACCCCCACCCAAATCCACCCCCACCCCCACCTAAATCCACCCCCACCTCCATCAAATCCACCCCCACCCCCACCCCCATCCACCCCCACTCTAGCCCCCCATTCTAGCCAGCTAACCTAGGTAGCTCTGCTAGCTAGCAAGGCTACCTAGGTTAGCTAGCTAGAAGTGCTACCTAGGTTCTATCTAGCCTAGCTAGCTAGATTTGCTAGCTCAGCCTTCCAGGCTATCCGCGTACCTAGTTGATCTAACCTAACCTGCTCGCTTCGCTCGCTAATTACGAACGATACCCCAATATGAAATAGAATCTCACTTTGCCCCAAGGTATCTCACGTTGCCCCATAAAAATTGTGGGGGTGGATGGGGGTGGGGGTGGATGGGGGTGGGCATGGATGGGGGTGGGGGTGGATGAGGGTGGGGGTGGTTTTATAAATGCCGCATTTTATGCTAATTGGCAGCAAAGATAAATACTAAAAATATTTGAAGGAATGAAATATTTTTTTTTTTAAATATGAGAAACTATTACGTCGGAAATTGAATAATAGAAATGGTTAATATTTAAAAGATACAATAGATACTTTGTAGGCTACTGTTCATTCAAGATTAATATGCAGTAAAAAGTCTGAAAGGTTATTTGGCGGATGATTAGTTTCCATTGACTGAGTTTGTTTATATTTTCCTAATTTCACCTAATATTCATTTAAAAAGTAGACAAAATGTACATAATTAAATCGTTGTCAAATCAAATGGTCGAAGTTGCTGGTTGACATAACCAGCAACTTCGACCATTTGACCTTTTAAAAAATTTGGAGGACTTTACTGCATATTAATTTTGAACGAACAGTAGGCACGTCAGTTTGTAATTATTCTATTATTATTTTAAAAAATTAACACGAAAGCTTGGATTTGGGGTTTGTTAATAATATGTGAATTGAAAAATATTTTATGACCCCCTCAGTTATTTTAAACTCTATATCAGTCAGTTTTACCCAAAAATTTCCCAAAAAACTATTAGTTTTTTTTCGGATAAACTCTTAGTTAACTAAAAATACATATTTGAATCAATAATAATTTTCAACATCTGCATAACTCTAAGTCTTATACTTATTTTAACAGTTTGTTAAAATGCATAAATTTCCATCCTGTTGTCTGGAACAAACTATGCCGAAATCCGGCCCAATATTTCCTTCGGGTTGTGTAACTCAACGCAACACTGATAAACTTGCTTCCACGGATTGCTTTACACTTTGGAATTCTCTCATCCTGCCAGAAGCAAAATTTGTTCCTTTTTCCCCGTCATCATCGTGTCGTGTTCATCATCACGCTGTGCTCAGGCATGCATCCCCCGTTCTCTGGGTAAGCTGCTTTCTCCCAACTTTCCCTTCCCGGCCAAGTCCACCAGGGTTTCGGAAACTTGGTTTTACTCAATTTTTTGTCAAAAATCATATTTGGGAAAATTTTGACAAGGTAATTTCACAAATTATTTTAATCTTAATGCACAACAACAGAATAGAAGGATGGTTGATCTTTTCACGGTTGAGATAAAATTTACTTTCAAGATTTATTGAATTAATTTATCCAAAAAAATATTTTGCTGAATTTGTCCATATATTTATTTAGAAAATGACAGCAATTAAATAATTTTCACGTATAATAAAGTTAAATGTAAAATTTTCAAAATCTCATACTGTAAATTTGACAATTTTACCTGGTAAGTCACATTTGACAAAATTTTGATAAACTATTTTCTCAAATTATTAAAATATTAATGCACAGAGCAATTTACATCAACCAATCTTTTTAAAATCTAAAATAACTTTACACGAGATTTATTTTTATTGACGTAAACCAAGTGCAAAAAATATTTTGCTACAATTTTTCCAGATACTACAATTTTTCCAGATACTTTTGTCAAAGTGGCAAAAATTAAATAATTTTCAAGTATAGTAAGCCTAAAATGTACAATTTTTAAAGTCTCATACCATAAATTCGAGAATTTAGCGTGGTAAAACTGATTTTTTAAGCTACAAATTTTGCCTGATTTTACACATCATTTTAATCCAAAATTTCAAAACGTATCTAATATTTTCGGGAAAGACCGTTGCAAAAACTTTTGCCCTTTCTAAAATTTCACTTACTTGGTTTCTGAAAATTTTCTGAATTTTAAAGAAAATTATGTCCATTTTACTTCTTATGAATTTCTCCCCAAAACATGGGAACCCTACCCTACCACCCACCCGATGTGGTCTTCCCTTCTCCTTGCAAGGTTTGGATGAGGTTTGGTATGCCATGTCGTATGTATTCTCCCGGTTTAATGGAAATTCGGGGTAAATGAGGTTGCGGTTTTCGTATAGTTCAACTTTCAGGTCTAGTTTCCTTTCAGCTCATCCAATTTTACTACATTTCTCTCTCTCTCCGGCTAAAATCCGCTCTGCTTTTACTTTGGCTTTGCTACAAAACTTGGTTCCTTTCCTTTCGTGCCCAGCTTTTCAAATATGCATGGAAAGCAAAGGCAACCAACCAACCAACCAACACAACTTTCACAACGCATGAATTTTCTAGTTTTAATTTCGAGCATGATTTTAATTTCGCTGACTTTACGTTATTTCTCGAAAGGGAAGAGAAGCAAGCAAGCAAAGTGCAATATGTAACTCGAGGTAGGAGGGTAAAATCAATAATGGCAAATTCAAACCGTAAATTATTTCGAGATGGGAAATATTTTTTGGAAAAAAATATCAAAAATTTTGCTAGGTTTTTTTAAACAAAAATATGTATGAGTTTAATTCCGGAAAGGATTTTTTGCAAGATATTTGATATAAAAGGTTTATTTAGATCTTGTTTCGAAGGAAATTTCAGTTAACGATATGACAAACATGCTTGCACAGAATCACACCAAATTTTCTGGAAATTTGTAATTTGCATTTCAGAAACATAAATATTTTGATCGAATAGTAGCCAAAACTTGTTAAAATTTTAGTAATCCATCGTTCCATTATTTAAATACTTTCACCCGGTTAAACCAAAGTTATGAATTTCTGAAATGTGCTAAAACGTGCATATGTAAATATGATGATCGGATTATAAATGGGAAAAGGAGCGTCATTTCATGAATGAACGTATTTATCTATATATTCCTCCGCACATATTCGGTGGGGTTGGTTGGGAAGGTTAGCGGTTTCGGGTGAATTTGGTGGGTCGGGTTTTTGGTGAATTGGTCGGTTTGAGAATTTGGTTATGTTTTACATACTTGTATGGCTGCGGCACAGTTGGGAAAGCCACTTCCCAAATAGGTCGAGTATGGCGATGAGGCATAACCCCAGTGGTTTGAGGATGAGGTCCCAAATGTGGCCAATGTTTGGCTCATATCTGAAATGCAATCCAAAATTGCAAACTGCAAATTAGCCCACTCTAAATAATCGGGGGAAGGTGTATGTGTTTCGCAGGGGTTTAAATTTTCCAGCTAAAATCTTGTCAATTAAACACGTGATCCAGAAATTATAGACATTACCCTGCAATTAGTTAATTCTAAGCAATCGGGGAAACTTTTATGCATTTCGCAGGGGGTTTCAATTTTCCCGCTAAAATCTTGTCAATTAAACACGTGATCTAGAAATATAGGACTTAAGCTGCAATTAGTTAATTCTAAGCAATCGGGGTAGCTTTGATGCAGATATTTCGCAAGGTTATAAATTTTCCCTCTAAAATTTTGTCAATCAAACACGTGATCCAGAAATTATAGGAATTACACTGCAATTGGATCACTCTAAATAATCGGGGAAGCTTTCGTTGGGGTTTAAATTTTGAATTTTCCCCTTAAAATGTTCTCAATTAAACACGTGATCCAAAAATTACTACTAACTTTGACAATTCGGCATCCGGCTTAGCGTCATGGCAAAATCTGCACTTCTATTCAAATGGTCTAGCGCCCCCGTATATCCTCCGAGAAATGCGCGTTGGCCAAAACCAAAGTGAAATTGTTGCTGTTGCCCTGAAATTTTAAAAAATTACAAATTTTATTAAAAGTTGGAATCAATATTTTTTAATTAGTAAAACTGACTCGTTTTCGATCTCGGTTCTCTTGGACCATCCACCGTAACTTTGATCGCTTTCTGGTACGTTGTCACTTGTGGGGGCGAACTGGCTACGGCTATCGTGAGCGAGAAACTCTTTCCTATAGAAAAAAAGAGATTTGAAATTTTGCTAAAATTTTACTAAATTAGTGCAATTTTAGTTCTAAATCTTGCAAAAAATTATGGGAAATGTGTATGTATAAGTATTTAACTTTGAAGGTTTGTGCATTAATGGATAATTTATCTCTTGAATTGATGGGAATGAGCTTAAAAAAGTTGATTATTAATAAAATTGACTTAATTTTATAAAAATGTTCTAATCCATGAACAACTACAATTTGAGACTTAAAATGTTCTGAAAGTGCATCCCTTAAAAAATAATGTCTCAAAGTTCTCATAAAGTGAGGTGCTTTAACCCTTGCTTTAAATTAATGTACAAGTATTACGCCACGAGTAAAAATCTGGTATTGTAATTGATTACATAACTGCTAATAGATGTTTAAGGTCAGTTTTGTAGTAATTTTTTAATAAAAAAACTTTATTTTAAAAATTTTAAACTTAATAAATATGTACATAAGATTAATTTATTTAGAATAAAATGAAATTTTCAGGATTTTTTTTCAATTTAATTTCATTAAGCTTTTTGAAATTTCCTAAAATTTCCTAATGCAAATGTTATTTCGAAACTCTGAAAAGTGGTAGAATTGTAATTTATTAAAATCTCAATATTCCTCACTTCAAAGAAAAGAATAATTCTTCAAATGCTAGATTTAAAAAAATCAGACTCATGAGAACACTGATAATACATAATTTATGCGAATTTTTAATAGCAATTAAATAATCATGTAATGATGCATTACTTTTTAATAGAAATTTTGTAGAGTCGCATTTCTTTTGTTCAATCTCAACACTTTCACGCTTTAAAAACCAAAAGTGCTGAGTTAAATATTGTAAAATTTCTTCGCCACTTTTACAAAATGTTGAAATTAAGTCGATCCTAATAATTTGATTAGATTGTTGACGGCGTCGACGGCGATGCAATCGAGTAGCATCAACTTGTTTTCAAGAAATCTCAACTTTCCCCACTTTCTCCACTCGCCTCTTAATATTTTTCTCCGTCTCATTCACTCACTTTCTCTTCCCTAAAAACATTCACGTCTCTCTTTCACCCCATGTTTCCCCACTATTATTACGTGCTCTGTTCTCTCCTCCCTTCAAGCAAAGTGTCCAATTTGTTCATGCAAATGGTGGTAAAAGTGTTCATAAAAATGTCACGAGTTCCATTTTCTTTCGACCTAATCGCAAGTGAAATCTTGTATTTAACAGATTTTATTGTTGTCCAGAATTGTTTAGATGTGAGATTCGGACAGGACAAGGAAATCTATGGCGGAATAAAGTAGGAAAAACTGGACAGACGGATGGATAGATGACCAAACCAGTGAGAAGAGAGAGAGAGAAAAGGCATGGGTGAAAGTTGTGAAAGTGGTTTTGTATTTTATGGTTGGAAAAAAATATGTACAATTTTTTATTACTTAAAAAATTTGTTTTCGTAAAAGTGCAAAGTGGTGGAAATTTTAGTATGTCTTATTTTTAAGTTTCTCATATTGAATTTTTAGATTAAAAATAGTCCAACTATGCAAGCGTTGAATTTTGATCGGATTTCGATGAAATAAGTGCCCAGATTTAATTAATGAATCGAAGTTTTAATTGGTTTATTTTAAAATGACGCAACTAAACTTTCATAAATTTTTTGGAAAAGCATAGATTTTTTTTGTTTCATTTTACGTCATTTCATTTCTAAATTTTATGTGAATAATTTGTTATCGGACCTAACTAATTTTAATTTCGTTAACTACCTAAATCTTAATTTCGTGTAAAATTTGCACCTTTTTTGAAATATTTTTGTGATTACAAAAATATTTCAAAAACAAATAAAAAATCCCACCACCCAAAATTTTTAATATGTATGTATTTATCCCACTCATTACGTGTTTCAAATCTTGACAAATAGTGCATACTTACGACTAAAAAGAAGACATAAATTCGCTAACCCTTACCACGACCAGATCTTCCCACAAATCTGAGATCGTTAAATTTTGCAACTTGGTTTTTCATGATTGCTGTTGCATTGCGTAATTCGCCGCAGTAATTTTCATCATTTCCTGCCCGAACAGTGACCAGTGTCCCGTCCATTACTTCACCCAGAGCGATGACCTGTTATCAGAATTAATTAAAAAATTAAATCTCTGTAGGGACACTTTCGTTAGATGTTAAAAACACAAAGAAAAAATAAAATGTTGTCATCCGAAAAATTTTCTCGTCTCGTTGTACAAACAACTATTACGATTGAACTGTTAAATTGTTAATTGTTAACTGAACTTAACTTGTTCAATTGCTAATTGAACTGTTAATTTATAACTACTTATTGGTGATTCCACACATCTGAAAATAAATTTGCCCGTACAAAACCTTATGTCAAAAATATTTTTGGCATTGAAATCATACTAAATTTTCATAAGGCGATTTTAAAGAAAACTTTGTAACAAATATTCAGCGAATCTATTCATTATTATTTTTTTCATTCCTGGAAAGAAGGCAATTTTTCACATTTTTATACTATTTAGCCACCTGAATTACCAAATTAATAAATTTCAATTTCAATGCGGTTTCCATATTTCATTAAAAAATTAAACTCTAAACTCGATACTTTGCAAAAATCTGTCATTCCCATTCAAAATGAGACATTCTCATTGACACATCAATTGCAAAAATGAATCCGTAAATTTCTCTATACATTATTGAATTAGTTAATCACCTTGAAAGCGACAGGGAGTGTTTTGTTGGATCTCCAATGGACGGGGAGGACGGAACAGACGAAATTTGGAGAACCCGTCCTCACCAGTTCGCCCCCAGGGGAATCCGACAGCATTTCTGTCAGGGCACGCTCCGCCATCACCTAAACCAAATTGCATAATAATTAGGAAATAATTAGGCACTAGTTTTCACCCTCTCGGTTTAGATTATGTAATGCATTTGTTGTGTATTGTGAGGATAGGGTTGTTTTATTTATTAATTTTGAAGCGAATTTGGTAAAAAAAAATATAGGAGGATTTGCACATTTGTAAATTTGGCATAATTTGCAAACTCCTAACATGAATTTAATAATTAATTGAGATTAACAATGTTGAATGTTTGACACTATGGTGTGAATTCTAAACCTATGTAAATTTATTACTACGTGATTTGTGCAAAATAAAATTTGGCGTAAAAATACGTCAATTTTTCTGCATTTGAATTTTTTAGGAAACCAGTTTACAGATACTTGAGTGGTTCAAAAAACATCATAAAAACTTAAGCGCCAAAGTTTTATTTTTTAACAGTTAATAGCCATGAATTGCAAAAAGATTCATTTTACGTGTACTCTAGTACTTTTAAGACATTAACAAAGTTTCATTAAAATAAAATAAAATTCTATCGTATTTTAAACTCAAGTTTTTATGTATGTGCAAATTTACAGAAAGAAAATCAAACCTCTGTCGCAAGTTTGTGATACGTTTCCGTAATAAAGCTGAGTTCGCTGGCGAGATGCATGTTGAGTTTTTATCATCACAAAGTTTTTGTCACACAGAAAATATTCACTTCACTTTCCCTGCACTACACACTTTTTAGTCTAATTTTCTTTGTGAAACGGACACAATTTTTTGACACAAATTCTAATTCACTTTCACTTCCATAATAATAATGAAGTCATTGTAACAATAATCGGCACCAACTTCGTTGCACAACAATAATTAATCTGTTCTACAGTCGGGTTGTTTTTTTATTGTTTCAAATTTCACTAAGAATTTTACTCTAACAAGAGCAAATCATTCCCAAGATTAGACGTTATTTGTCGACTTGCGGATACAAAACCTGTAAAAATACAGAAAAATTCATATTAAATTTAATTGCTAATTTGTTGGCAAAATTTTATTTTCAAATTAAGTCAAAATCGACACCAACTTTTTCGGGATAAAACTGTACGTTTAAAATAAATTAGCCACAATTTATCACTCAACTGTAACAATAATTTCTGCGAAAGTTAATAGACAAATTGTTATCACCATTTGGTGACAAAACGTAAAAAACGCGACATAAATACTGTTTACTCCTTGACAATATTGTCACCTCATTATTTACCTCGTACAACTTAATCTTTTCTTAAGTCGGGTAATTTTCTTGTTTCCACTTTCACTCGAACTTTCCCTCGAACAAGATAAAATAATCATCCCCAAGAAGAAAACAAGGACAAGATGTCGACTTAAGATGGTGATGATGATGATGCCAATATTCTGGTGGAGAAAGAGGAGGAGGTGGAGGAAGAAAGAGAATTAAGAAATCGGGTTGTGGATGAAATCGGGCGAGATAATTTAATCCGGGAGAAAAGTGCCGTCATTACCCGGCACGGCTACTTACTCACCCAAAAGACCCCACTTTACCCTCATGAAAGGAAACTTAACTGACTTAACAAACTTTCAGATGGATGGAAATGAGAACGAGGACGGGAAAACTGATCCGGAAAGAAGAAGAAGGGAGGAATAAGAAGTTGGGAGAATTGGGGATGATTTTCACATGGAGAAAGGAAAGGGGTAAATTTAGACGGGGTTTTGGATTTTGGTGTTTCGTTTTGAGCTCTGGATTATTGGGAGTGATTGGTTTTACAAATAAATTTTTAAAAAAATTCGACCCTATCAAATAAATCTTTACCCAATAATTTTAATGATGGGTATTTAATATGGTGGCAACGAAAAAAACCTACACTTAATTTTTGATATCTTTTTTTAAATGTAGCTATTTTATGATTTTAATTATTTTTTATAAAGTGAGATTTTCAAAAGTAAATAAATCGTACAGTATTATTTGGTTGGGGTTGACTGATAATGGTACTTTTTTGAAATATTATTTAGAAGAAGAATTTTTTAATTAGAGATTATATTTTGTTTTGTATAACGTCGATGTAATTAAAAAAGTTAATTTTACAATTATTTGAACTTGAAGATCCTATATTATCGCTAAAGAAAAATATTACTCGAGAAAGAACAGTACAATTGTACTAAATATGGAACAGTAGCGCTTTTTTATTTTCAAAGCACTATATACAAATTTTTAAATTTAGAACTTAGAAAATTTAGAATTTTCAACTTTAAATTCTGTGTACTAAATACGCTAAAAACTGTAAAAATGCGTATGTAAAGTTATTACTAAGGTTCCAAGTTTTGTACAGTTTGTGCAAGGATGAGCTATTTTTTAAGCGATAAATAGCATAAATTGAAAATCTTTTTACTCTGAAGTTACCCCCAAAAAATTTGCCAACTTATCCAATTCACAAAATAGATAAGAAATTTGATCAAACTAGACCAAATTTTTATTTCTATCCCTTGCAAGGAAGAAAAAGACACATGAAAAAGTCTTTCGGCAGTATGAAAAGGGGAAAGTAGACAAAACAGAGAATTAATTTTCAAATTAATGAGGTACATATAAATATAAACCTTACTCCCTCCATGTCACTTTTTGGTTTACTTTAAAAAACAACAAAATTTACACTCTTATAATACATATCAAAGTAAAAGATTCAAACACTACGGCAAAAGTCACCACCTTTTCTATCTAAATAAATATATTATATCAAAGAAAAAACGCTTGTTGTTGTCTCAGAAAATGGGAAAGTAAAGCAAAACAGAAAGATAAATTAATCTGTCAAGTTGTTTTTCATCTACTCTTCTCACAAAACTTTTCGTTTGGCTTGAAACATAAGAAAGTTTAATATTATTCAAAATTCGAGATTAAAAAATATTCGAACTTTAATAACGTAAATTTAGATTTTCTCTTAAACTTTCCTTTTGTAATCCCTAATGCTTTCACTCACAAGTTTAGTGTTTCCTGTCCAGCAAAAAAAAATTCTTCACTAAATAATTATAGAATTATTTAATTTTTTTTCTAAAATCACACGTTAAAAAAATGTACGCCTAAAAATACGTATGACTTTCTCCTAAACAAATTCTCCTGGTTGGAACCAGTAGCACAAAAACAAACAGATCCCACCCTCTCAAAAAAAGTGTGTCTCTAGCCCAAAAAAGGGGAGAAAGTAGAGAAAGTAAAAAGTGACAAATTAATCCCATAAAATTATCCTCTTTCTACTCTCTCCCTTCCTCCTTCTTCTCTCCCCATCTTAATGCCCGAACCCTCTTACCCGGTGAGATAGCAAACTACCCGGTAGAAAAAGAAATAAGGGTGACTTTCTCTCTTTCCGAGGGGGAGATTTTATTCACTTTTACTTTATTTACACCACTTACTTTTATACCCTCACTTTTCCTCTCCACACCACCATCAGGACACTTTCTGCTTTCTTTATTCACACCACTTTTACTTTTGCTCTAAATAAACCGCTTAATTCTTTCCCAAAGAGAAAGTTGGCCACCCCGAAAAATGGGTTAATTACCAGGAACGTCGAGTTTTATGGATTTATTTAATTTTACGAGACTCCTTAACCCACATAGCAAAGTTACTATCGCACAAATTCTTTCTTTCAGTAAGGGATGATCCAACGGGGCAAGGTGAGAAAGTCAAAATTTCCTTAATTCTCAAAAACTTTACGAACTTTCTCCCACCAAAAATCTCTCTTGGTTTTCATTTTCTCCAACTTTTTACCCGATTTTTAAAACAAAATCGCTCCTAAGCCAAGCAACTCTTTCAATTTCTCCCTTAAATTTGTATAAAAACCCGAATTTTTTTAAGTAAAATTTTACACAAAAAAATAGAAACTTTCCCCTTAATTTTTTTTATTACCTTTTTCTACCCCGAAATATTGTCCCACCTTTTGGTGTCTTTTTCCCTAGTGTGGTTTTACATGTGTGTATATCTCTCACCAAAAAATTCTGGTCAGGTTTTTCGGTTAGTCGTGTTGCCTATCCCTGCCCACCACACAATCCACCCAGCCAGCCGCAAATGCAAACCCAGAATGAGCCAGGGAGGGCAAAACCAAACCAAAACCAAAACCGAAAACCGGACCCTATCCGAAATTGTAATGTTCTTGTCCCGATCTGAATCTCGATTGTGCAGCGAAATTCAGACCAAGACCGACCGACCGACAAGTAAGTAAGAAGAAGCGAAAGGGTGGTGGTGCTTACTTATTAGTTGTCCATGGATATGCAAATGTATGTTCGGCTAGTAGAAGCTGCTGCTTTCTCTTCCCTTTCCTGCCTCACAATGAAAATGAAATGAAATGAGAAATCTGTGAAATAGTTGTGTAGTAAAGGCAAAAGGTGGTTGGTTACTTGTTCATAGTGTGGATTGGATTGGTGGGTGATGATGACGGTATTTCACTAAAGAAGAACAAGGAGAACATTATATAATATATTGCACAGATCACGGTACACGGCACATATTGGTGGACCACACTCTAAATAATTGACCAAATACGTGTACCATATGCAAAATGTGGTGGTAACAAGATTGTTACCGAGCGAAAGTAGAAAATTAGTAACAATTTCCCGGTAACAATTTGGTAATAATTTCCCGCTGAAACATAGCCCGATGGAATTTGTTGATCATTTCAATCAAATCTTTAACAATGCGGTAGGGGCGCATGAAGTTAAAAATTTTAATTTTACCAGAAATATATTTTTAATTTTTTTACGAGTGAATTCGGTTCATTTTCCTAATAGAAAGTAAGATTGAAAGTTCGTAACAGATTTAAATTTCCCGCTGATCCCATTTATCCCTACATTATTTAGAGTCTCCCAGTTTTCAGGGTGATGATGCCGAATGGAAGCACTGGCTGGCAGCTAGCTCTCTTGTCTGCGGTTTTAGAAAGGTCCGTCCACCCAAATTCGACAAAAATACGGTTTTCCAACTATTTCGAAAATTTTCTTAAAATTTTTTATTACTAAAAAATCCTCCCCTTATCTTAAATATGGATAACCCCTTCACCATGTTACATAATTCTGATCCCTTAACCGGATCGTACGTGAAGGATATCATAAGTTTCCAGATCCTTCACATCATACTAAATTTCCACCCCATCCCTTTCGTCGAATCCGTGAGTTTACATTATTTTGCTCGGACCACACCAACTCTTCCTCTAGATCCGGTTGGCAGATCTTTACAACATTTCCCTCCTGAAAATGAGTAGTACATAGTTTGTCTTCTGGTGAGATATTGACTTTTCACTCAGCCATAGTCATACTCATTCCGTAGTGTATTCTAATTTCTGCTTGGTTTGGTTTGCTTTGTTATTAAGCGAAGGGTCGTGCGGGAAAGATGCACTTATTTTGAGGAGGATTTAGATGCCTAGAAGCATGTGGAACCTTATTTTGAGAAGTCAGTGGAACGATTTTTTTGACTTGAGGAAGTTGGAAGTCACAATTTTTTATATGGAGATTTATGTAATTTCTAAATGACATAGGTAAAAAATGAGGCTTCATGGGGCACAATTTGGTGTAAAAGTTAGTGTTTCGGATGCAGGTTTGCAAGATTTGAAAATGCTTTGCAAAGAAATAACGGCAAGAAAGTTTTTTTCAGGTATTTTGACCTGCAAGAAATGTAAGGCGCTAAAAATTACGAACTTCCCGCCGCTATAATTCATAGGGCGCGTCGCTAGATGGTGCATTTTTCTTGAACTTTTTGTATTACACGTTGCATTTCTTGCGTTTTTTGATTTACAGTGCAAGAAATTAGCAAAGCAAACCCGCAAGAAATTAAGGCGCTGTACCAACTTTGAACGCCCAAAAATATTTTTGACCTTAGTTACCTAATTAATTCTAAAATTTTTATGCAACCTCCACCCCCCCTCCCTCTGGAAAAATGGAGGAAGCAAATTTTGAAAAATTTACGAGTCAAAAGTCAATGAATTAGGAACAATAAATAGAACGAGACCCAAACTTGCTTTTTACCTTCGGATTCCCTTATGAATACGAATATTTTGAAAGTTTCAAAATTCGAAAATTCGAGTTTTTTTCAATACTTAAATCTTATATACTACTTGGCAACTAGCCGGATGCAACTTTTCCAAAGACGTTCCTGTCGATATTATCGTATTTTGCAACGAATTTTGAATTAAAAGTTGTAGTTTATATTATGGCCGAGGTGGATTAATCAGGGAGAGACTCCAAAAGACTCCAGATACTTTGATATTTATGAAAGAAGAAAGGGCAATTGGGTCAGTGCAAAGTTTTCTGAAAGAAAAACGGTCCACCACCATTTTTCTGGATCTATGACCTATTATACCATCTGCGCCACAATATTCTCCACCGCTATGAACAAGAATTATGAACGTCGAAATTCTCCAAAAATTGTGAACGTCTTTTGAATTTTTTAAAACATTAATGGCAGTTTTATTTTTTTCGCGAAGTTGGTGGTACTGGGTGACATCATATTTTCATTAAAAAATATGTTGATAAATTTACCACCAATGATTTTTTTCCAAAATATGCTATCACGCTGCAGTCCCAAGAAATTTGGGTAGTAAGGGTACTTGAATACCTTGGTGAATTACTGGTACAGAGCCTTAAATACTGGAAAGTAGAAGCATACAACTTGAAATCATAAAATCTCAAATTGACACCACATAATTTACGCACGTCCCCTGCAACATATTGTGTAACAACAAAGTACAAATGCCACCAAGATGAATGCGAAGTCAACTTCCTGCCCTGTTTTGTTGGCGTTGTTCTTATTGTAAAATAATAATGGGGTTTGGAATGTGGGGGATGGATGGAGGAGAAAGTGAGTGTTGATGAGTTTCTCTATGATTGGTGGCTGACTGACATGCATACATTCCATTATTCGAGCCGATTTCCTTATTATTTTCGATTTATTTATAAGGTTACAAAGTGTTTCATGGAGTAGTGGAGTGAGTGAAATGTTGTATTTTGCTTGAATATGGATGGATGACATTAAATAAAACGTTGTACGTGCATAAGAAAACGTGTAAAAGTACACGAAACCCGTAAGCAGTTCTCAAATTTTGTAATGCTGGTATTCACGTCAAGTTTGTTAAATTGTTGAAATTAGGTATGAAGCACTTCATGTGGTCTTTGGTAACTTGTAAAATTCGTAAGTTTTGTAAAATAATACAATTTTTTACAGAATTAAAAGACCCCTTATCTGAGTAAATTTCCAAAAATTTGGACACTAATTTTTCTCAGAAATGTTTGCAAAATTGTATAAAAGTGTGTAAGTTTACGTAAAATTTACGAATTTTACAATGTAACCAAAGGACTGCGTGAGTGAATTGCGTCTATGTAAATATTTTATAAGCCTCGCAAAAATAAATTGCAACGCTTGAAATGTTTGCAAACTTTTGGAACCCACCGAATTTACATAGTTTACACAGCTACAGCATGCCAACTGCATAATTTGAGTAAAAACATGGACTTGTTCAGAAGAAATTAAAGTATAAAAAATAATTTCATTTATTATAATTTTGTAATTAAAAATTCAATGAAAAATATATTTTAAAATTTTAAACTCAGAAAAATTATTGCCCATTTTACCCTGTGTATTTTTAGCCCGAAACAGAGCTAATGAACCCACGGTGTCCATCTGTCCCTCTGTTTACTTGGGCCACAAAATACATACAATTTCGAACTAACTCGTTCACAAAATTTGACTAATTTTGCTTGTCTAAAGGGAGGTTGGACTTTGTGGTGTGTCCGAATGTTGGGGCGGATTTGGGGAGACATTTCTCAAATAAATTTTGTTTAATCAATAAAATGACGGCAAAAAGGTGGATGTCTGTATTCGTATAAATTTTATTTGAATTTTGAGAATTTTAAAATTAACCCAAAACCAATAAAACCAGACAAATTCTTGTATTTTGTGAATGAATTTAAAGCACCAACACCTTAATCCATTTTATTAATATTATACACTTAATAATTTCAAAAGTGGTTTGCAACCATTACAGTATAAAAATCAAACAAAACATTTAGTAATTTCCTAAATTTGAAAATATATGTAGTTTTAATCATGCAAGAAATATTTGCTAATTTGATGTTAATTAGAATTTCGTATTACGTGATAAATTTAATCGATCATTATGATTAACTCTGCCCCGATCTTTTTTGCAATTATATCGTTGATGCAATTCTAGGCAAATACAAATTGGCTTAAAACTTTGTCATACTTTTTATAATGCTGACCACCAAATTACGACACCGACAATTGGTATGACTATTTTTATCTTGCAAATCTGTACACCAGAAACCCAAAGTTTTCAGAAAAGACAGATTTTATTTTTGGAGTTTGTAAAACAATTCACTTGTTTCCGGCAATTATGCATCTCCTGAAGTAGAAATGAAATTGCAATTTTCAGGTTGGACACGAAATTGCGACACTTATCTAAAACCGGTTACGTTCCAAAACTCGTTTTAAATTTTTTTACAAAACATAAATTTTGGTAAAATTAAGTTATCTGAGCCATTTGGATATTTGAAGTGAACGTCTGACGCATTAATTTAATGTGATATTTTCTGTAATAATTAGATTTAATTGGGCACCAAAATATTGTAATACATTTTATTTATCCATTTGTTTGTCTGGCAAGGGAAATAAAGAGTATGATAAGTAATAGATTATTCCACGCGATCGGTATAAGTATTTTTATATTCCTTGTCGTCAAAAAATATATTAGAGTAGTAATTGATCGGTATCATTACGTAATGAGAATCGAAAAATTTGGGAATAAAATCGTTGACGCATTTCACCAGGGTTTTGTAAACAAAACTTGTACAACATTAACATTGCTATTTCTTCCGTTTCTTGGCTTTTGTGTGTGTCTCGTCTGAAGAGTGTGACGAATATTAACGACAGGAATCTGACTTGCGTTTCTTTGTCTTCTTTTTCGTCTTGACGGCTCAATCTTCGTCAGATTGTCACCCAGCGATCAACGGACAAGGGTATCATCATTCGAGTGTAAGAATCACCACTTCGATCCGGACTCCTCCCAGGTAAACTAAACTGTTGCGGGAGACATGTCAGAGAAGAGGTTGAGGGAGCATGATGCTGCCCGAGGTCATTTAACCGACTACTAAGAGGACGTCGGTCAAGCCGGTCACGTCGTTCTCGCTCTGGCAGCCTCGTGATCGTCGTAAACTTCTGTCCCTGTATTCTGCCTCATTTTCCCGTCACTTCTAAATCCTGTCACCACTTGAGTCAAGTGACTTGAGTCCACTCTGTCATCTGAAATTGGGAAAATTTGGGACTATTTTACCTATTTTTTTACAACAGTGAATGACTTCTCTACAACAAAAAATACATTACCTGACCGATCCATTTCCGGTGGTAAAGTTCAAATATCTGCTACCGTAAATTTTTCGGACTTTCTATTTCCAGCTTCATACTGATTGATTGAACTGTGATGGGCGACCGTTTATCAAATATGACGTTTTCTCCACGCACCGATAGGAGCTTTGGTCTCGTGCTTATCCTCTATCATAGTATATCTCGACCCAATATCAGAGTAAGGTGTCACACATCCGTCGCGTTGGCATCTATCACATTGGCAAGCAGGTCCAATTTCTAGAATTTGTACCAACGGTTTCGACGAGCTATCTGAAATTATCGAATAAGTAAATTGAGTAAAAAGTCAATCGAATAAAATATAATCCTATTGCGAAGTAATTACAAGCAAATTCGTCTTCGCAAAATTGGGTCAAGATCTCGCCATTATTTCTTCGCTTTATTGCTACCAGTTCCATCCGCACTAACCAGGCGATTTTACGGTCGAATCAAATGGCGGAGTCAAACTTCAAATGTGTTGTCCACATCTAACGACCCTGTCCCCCGACGTAATGTACTTGTGGTGGAAAGGGTAAATCTTTGACTGTTTAGGAGATGGAGACATGGTGTTTTACGAAGAGGAGATAGCGACCATTTCGGAATGAATGGAGATGAAGCTCGGCGAATTGAAAGGGTGTGACCTGCATGTGGCGACCGAGAACGTTTCTTAAGCCTCATTACTGCTTCTTCCGGGTTTTCGCTCACATAATACTTCCAAAATCCTTTAAAGGGTCATGATCATGAATAGTACTGCACACACAAAAAAACACTTACAACCAAATGTTTTCTTTAGTCAGTCATTAGTCAAAATTACTTGAACTAACTCACTCTAGTCGATTTTCATCGTTAGGAACTCGTAGGACCGAGATATGGACGATTTCGTGAGATGATGGGGAGGGCCTCAGCATATATCGTCGTCACGATGTCGACCCATTGGTTCAGGCCCTTATATTTTAGCCTATGGAGGTAGACGGCTGCAAAATATACGGATCATAGGCACAGGGGTTAATTCCATTGTTAAATCACACTTGTAAGAAACTTGATAAAATAATTTACTAAAAATTATTACACAATTATTCCCAGCCGAGGTAAATTAGCAAGATGGGCCTTCTCTTTATGGGCAGGTGTGACATCGGCTGACCTATTTTCCTCCGTGATTGGGGCTCGATGTGAGTCACTCGAGCCATCATCCCCCCGACATATTTTTGGAAATAAGCGTATTTTCATTGACATGTGCTATACAAAGGATTACAAATTATTATTATAATGTAAGAAACAGTAAACTATTTCCACCAGATAATAACTCACCTTCTTTCGTATTCGCATTTTGAAGTTATAGTCAATATCAAAATGTTTTCCAATCTTTCTGTTCAGTGTTTTTCGGAGACATCAGGCTAAAAAGGGATTAAATTATATTCATTTCCAAACGTTTATAATCACTCTGACGGAACGCTCAAAACTTTCTTTAATAATCGACGTAGAATGTAAATTTGATTAAAAAAGTAAAATAAATAAATTTGTATTTATTATAAATTTGTACCTTCAACTTTAACGTTTACCTTCTCGTTAATTTTTTCTGGTCACTTCACCTCGCGAAATCAGGTATCTTCTCAGGAATCAATTAATAATAAGTCAATCAATGTTACTTTTGATTAATTTAATTATTAATAAGGTGTCAAGAAAGCAAATTTTTACGTCAAACAAAATATGAGAAGTGAAAGTTGTTTACAAGATTACAAATGCCGGGTTCAGTCAATCTCACTCATTCCGGCTCATGGTCCATTCCATGCAAATAATTTGTCTCAATTTGTCTGTCTCATTGTCAGTCTCTGAATTTTATAGAATTTTAATTCGTCTGTGCAAATATTTGTATATTTTGTGGTATTATATGAGAATGTGAATTTTGTGTGCAATCAGAAATTCTGATTCAGAAATATTGTAAAATGCACTTATCTACTGTCCACGATCACACGAATTCTTCTTGTGAGATGAATTTTGCACTCTTAGCAGATTCGATTTGTGACTTGATAAATTTCAATTTCCTCATTAATTCGAACATGTTGACAAGAGACCCAAACTGACAAAATAACATCGCAAATTACTGTAGTAAACCAGGTCTGAAAAAGTTTAAGTACATACATACATATTTTATTAGCAAGGTGTGCAATTATAGATAATTTGGGAAACGTGACCATTAATTCTGAAAGTTTTTGTCCAGTATAAGTCGAATTTCGTTAATATAATATTTCCCAGATTTATTTTACAACAACTTTTTCACCTTCAATTTAACAAATTATCTCAAGCTTCAAAATTTGAATAACAATCGCGACGTAAATATTTATATAAATTTAAGTCAGTTTATTTTTAACCAAATACACAGGTAGAGATTTTGGAAGGTGTAAAATTTGTTAATTAACTTCAAAAATTTGCAATTTAACAATGGTTTGAAATCAGAAAAAAATCTGGAGACAAACCCATCGCAAATTTATATCGTCTCGATATTTTGTAAAAATCTGTAAATCACTTATAATAATTGCACGTGAATTGTCTATAGATGTAAATGCGTAAAGCAATATCTAAATTAATTGTGTTTCAAATTATGTAACTCAACCCACCGAACTGTTAAAATTCATACAATTCACCAAAAATAAGCTATGTATTCAAACTTAAATAGTGTCTTTTCTAATGGCATAGTAAAAATGCATATTTAAATTAATTATTAACGTAAATTAAATTTATAAAGTTTGTGAAATATGAAAAGTAAAAAGTGCAGTTCCAAACAATTAGCCGACTTTAAACTTGATTAAAATTAACTTTATCAAGTGATAAATTTATTGATAAGAAATTGTTGAATCGCATTTCTCTCATAAATAGCATTGAAAATTCCAAGCAGAAGTATATCCAATTCTTCCTACTAATAGCGTTTCGTGGGGCACAGATTCCCTGACAAGCAGCGTTCACACAGGTGACGAGGATGCGGCTTGTTCAGGTCAATTTCTGTCGTCGACTTTTCCAATTGCCTCTGCAAAAAAATACTCTTATCAATTTGCTTAAACTATGTATATATTAGATTCATTTAGTTTACAAATTGATTGATACCTGTGAATAAGGGTAGATCATTATTTGGCAGCGTTCACACTTTTGTCCAGTGTTGGCCCAACTATTTCCGGACTGCCAGGTTCGGTTGCATTGGGAGCAACGGAATTCTCCAAAAACGCGACCCTTCCCTTGATACGGCGTAGACATAGCTCGTTCTGAAATTAAGGAAAAAATGCTAGAAAATAGGCTAGAAAATATTATTCTTTCGACAAGATTTTAAAATCTCGGTATGAACTAAATAATAAATATGCACTATTACTCACCTGAAACAATTAAGTTGGCGGAGTAGAACTGTATAGTGAATTGGATAACTGAGCAGAAGAAAATGAAGTACTAATTAAATAGAGACTGCTTTATAAAGGTTTACCGAATTACGTTTGATGCAGTTATGCAGTTGGATATGTAATATCGTGTTAAAATTATAATCTAAGGTCATGCTGTAATCAACGTCAAGCACAAAGCAACGTGTTGGATAACACAACTTGTATTTGTGTATGAAACGTATTTATCTTGAAACATTTGCTTTATTTTTGTTCGTGCATCGTGCTTCATCATCACTCAAATATTTCCAGTGAGCAAATTGCTTATGCACTAATCTTTTATAATCAGTTTGTTTTGTTTTTGATATGAAAATTAAGTGCTTTTAACAATCGTCGCTGTAAGTGGGAATCAACCGAATGACTACTAAATATTTCCCAGCTTTTTTCTCAACTTTATGTATAAATAGAACAATTTTTTCACCTTCAATTTCACAAATTATCTCACTTTTCAATTTGAATAACAATTGCGACATAAATGTTTATACAAATTTAAGTCAGTACAATTTACTTTTAATCAAATATGTAGGTTAGACATTTAGTTTTGGTAATTAGATTTTTCATTTATTATTTGAAAAAGAACAAAATTAAGATACAAATCTATCGCCAGTTTACACAAATCGTCTCCATATTTTTTGCAAGTCTATAAATCATTTTAAAAAATTATGTAAAGCAAAATCTAAATTAATTATATCTCAAATTAACTCTACCCACCGAACTGTTAAAATTCACCAGAAAGAAGCCACTCAAACTTAAATAGCGTCATTATACTCATTATATACTTATTGCATAGTAAAAATGCATATTCAAATTAACTATTAATGTAAATTCAATTTCTATAAAGTTTGTGGAATATGGGAATAAAAAGTGCCAGTTCCAAACAATTATCTAACTTGATTAAATTAACTTCATCAATTGACAAATTTATTGGCAAGAAACTGATCAATCACATTTCTCTCATAAAATAGTATTGAAAATTTCAGGTAGAAATATATCCAAATATTAAAATTAATAGCGGTTCCTCCTGTCGCACGGTTTACCTGACCTGCAACGTTCACACAGGTTTCGAGGGTGCGGCTTGTTCAAGTCAATTTTTGAAGTTGACTTCTCCAATGCCCTCTGCAAAACAATGCACAAAAAATACTTTTATTAACTTGCTTAAACTATATATTTATTTGATTAGAAAAACCTGTTTTAAAATTGATACCTGTGAATAAGGGTAGATCATTATTTGGCAATATTGACACATTTGTCCCGTGTTGGCCCAACTATTTCCAGACTGCCAGGTTCGGTTGCACTGGGAGCAACGGAATTCTCCAAAAACGCGACCCTTCCCTTGATATGGCGTAGACATATTTTGTTCTGAAATTAAGGAAATTTTGAAAAAAGACCAGAACATATTATTATTTCGATCAGATACCTACGAACCCATAAATCAGGTCGCGCACTGCGCCACAAGGTCGCAAAGTGGGCGCAGAATTCAAAATTTCGATGTTTGGGGGCCAATAACTTTGCTCTGGAACGCCGTAGGTTGGTATAACTTATATGAATTTGGGGTAGCTTTCACAGATCTATCGAATGCAATAGTTTTCAAAGCCACACCCCTTCAAGTGGAGATAACTCCTCCCCCAGGGGGTGTGGTTGCACTACAGTCATATAATTTGTGTCATCCGTCCCCAAACTACCTCATATGCATAAATAGCTCAAAAAAAGTCATAAAATAATTTCTGATATTTCCTACCATAAGGCGGCCCCATTGTGCATCGTTTCCTTTTTCTTCCTTTGATTTAGAGCGGAATTGGAGGAATAAATCTGTCTTTTTGAATAAAAAGTATAGTAGCTCCTAGTCGGATGAATTATTCTCGTACTATTCATCAGCGAGGGAGAAATTTCTGAAAATTCCGCAAAGCTTTAACATTTTCATTTATGAGTAATCATCAATTTCTCTGGGTTCTTACTTACCAGTTTGTCAAAAATCATGCGTGCCTTGCCTTGAATTTTAGTGAATTTCTGATTTTTTATTCTCGACGAATCATTTATTTAAATCTCATTTGTAGCATTTAGAATCCAATTTTGTTTTGTTTGCAGAGTTTGACGTAGTTAAAAACTAAAAGATGATGTACCTTGTGAAAAAAAAACTCAACACCAATTACAAATAAAAAATAAATTAGAATTAACATTTTTATGAATATCTGATACATGCAAATAATAGAAGGAGAGTAGGAGAGAGGAGAGTACTATTTAATTATTTATCAGCGAGGAAGAACGTTTCGAAAATTCCTAAAAAAGCTTAATATTTTCATAAATAATCAACCATAAATTTTTCTGATCTTAAGTATAACGATTAAAATCAGTTCGTAAACAATCACGCGTGCTTTGAATTTCTGTTTTTTTCTTGACTTAATAGTTTATTTAAACTTCATTTGTTGCATTTAGAATCCAATATTGTTTTATTTGCATCCTTCAAATTAAAACTATATAACAGATTTTTACCTTGTATACCTTGCATTGCTCCAGAACAGTAATAAAGTAATTTTAATTAAACTGAAATTTTTTAAATTTTTATAGGCATGTAGATGTTTTTTTAGTGTCGCCTACTCATCCTTACCCTTTAAACAGTGTTTCGGGTGCAAGTAACCACCTGCAAGAAATAACCGCAAGAAATTGGTTTCTTGCAGCTATTTTTACCCGCAAGAAATGCAAAGTGCAAGAAACTCCTTCCCGCCGCCATAGTTCCGAAGGCGCGTCGCTAGATGGCGCTGTGTTTCTTGCACTTTTTTGCATTTCTTGCACCTTGCGTTTCTTGCATTTCTTGCTTTGCAGTGCAAAAAATGGGAAAAACCCGCAAGAAACGAAACACTGCCTTTAAATCAAATAAACCCTTGCAAATGAATATAAAGAAGTAGCGTCAGAACGATTCTCCTTGAAAATGACACCATATATGAAAATTATGCATTTTGGACTTTTGACCTTGTCTACATGGTTAAGGGTACTTTGGATGTCAAAAATATTGACTGCATTGAACTCGTGGTGAAATTTCCTTTAAAATGACACCCCATATGAAAATTAGGTGCAAATTTAAGGTTAGACCACACCCTGTGAGGGTGGTCTGATTGACCCCATTATCGAAATCAACCGGGAAATAAAAAAATAGAAGCACAATGGCGAAAACAACGTTTGATTATGTGGAGGCGTTCCGGAGATATCCTGCCCACAGACCGACGGACGGACAAAACGATCACAATAAGTAGCTGACGCTACTTTAATTTAAAAATTACTGCAAAAATTTGCCGACTCATTTTCGAAATTGACAGTGGTAAAATCCGGAATAGATTATTTCAGAGATTTTTGAAATAAACGGTGACCTAGGTGAAACGACAGGATGCCAAAACCACGAATGCTCGACATTAAGTGCCTAGTTACCCTTAACGGCTGCGACAAATGGTGGAGTTGCAAATAAAATAATTATTTCTAAAATCTCTGGTTCAAAAAGGCGTTTTTTAAACTTTCCAAAACCAAATCATGATTCGGTATGAGATTTTTGGGTACACCTCCACCCGCATCGTTACAAAAATGCAAATACCATGTAATTAATGACAAATTTTAGGTTTTTAAAAATAACAATTCATTTTCTAACTTGACCATTTGTCATAGCCTTATAAATAGAGTGATAAAGTGTCATTATTAATGTGCTTTTCTTGATACGGAAATGTGAAGGCGAAGAGCATGCAGAGTGAGTATAATTTTTAGAAATTAGATACACATGAGTCATTTACACGCCGTTTCTGGAAATAAACTAAAATTTAATCTGTACGTAGAAAATATAGATTCAAAGTCGAGAAGAGATAATTTATACGCACGAGTAGAACTTGTGATATGTTCTCAAAATTCTATAACATGATATGAAAAATGTGACAATAAATCTTGGAATACAAATTTTTATAAATTTTTGCTTGCTTATACTTTATTTAAAAATTTGTCACTTATATAATTTATGTAGTTATAAAATGTGAATGTTTTTTTTTATAAAAATAAATATTTTTATCATGAGGACCAAAATTAATGGGTGTGTAAAGCATGTGATCGACTTTTGCAAAATTTTAATTCCTTCATAAATTTTCATAAATCCCGCTTGATCAGCCCGCGCTTTTATTGACATGACCAGGACGCCATGACCCCTGCTACACGCCCTCAAATCAATTAAACATGCTTCATACACGCAAATGGAAATGGAAAAAGTTGCCCTTGATACATTGAAATCTCCATAAAAACACTTTTTAATCAATTGACTCGTCAATTAAAACTAGCGCCAATGTTTAGAATGGCGCAAGTTACAAAGGAGTGAAGTGTATAAACGCAGCTTAATAAATAAGTAAAGTATAAATATTTTAGGATGACAATTTACTGACATAATTATTACATCATAATTAAGTGTTAATACATACGAGATATTTTTTGTGATGTTTTTTTGCATATCAATTTCGTAATAAAATTTTAATACTTGTTTAATAAGACGTTTCTTTATATAGAAGAAGAGAGAGAAGGAGTTCAAAGTCGATTGAAAATGCGATGAGAAGTATTTATTTAAGGCACAGTAATTTCAATTAATTACATAGTTAATGATGGGTATTATTTAAATACGTTAGATATAAATATTTTTTAAATAATTCACTAATTACTAATCAGTGATTATTTAGTAGTACATAATTTCATGATGAGGATTAAGTATGTTTGAGGGATTTGGGAACATTTAACTTTAGGTGTCGGGTTGAATGAAATCTGGTTTTGTGTAAAGATTTTTTAAATAAATTGTAACAAAATTATAAATGAGTGTTAAATTAAATAATATTTAAATATTAGGACGGATATTTAAACAATTAAGATCATGACTTAACTACGATTGGTTTGGTAAACTGTATCTTAAATTGAGATAGCAACTCACGCAAAGTTTTGTAACGCAATAAACTGTGAAAATTTTGTAAAATTACGACATATAGTTTTGGAAACTGACGAGATCCGTGTCAGCTTACAATATATTCGTAGCCTGCATTAGTCTTGCTTGTCAATAAGTTAACGATTTTGGTTGATTACAAATATCCACGTGATTCGTCTCATTACACAATTTACATATATATTCAATAAATTACATAGTCACACAATAAAACTTACATAACAATCTATCATTTTAATTAATAGAAATGCGGCAACAATTGATTTTTATTTACACGAAGGAAGCTCAACAATTTCAGAGAAGAAAGTCGGATTTACATACAACAAATCTCTCATTTTATTATTTTTTACAACGAGAAAACACCTGCGTTTTAAACAATTTTATTTTTAACAATTAGCTTAAATTATGTAGGTTTTTTGATTTTCTTAAATACAAGACTCTCCACCAAAGGGGCCGGGCGGTGGGGGAAGGATATCTGGATGTTGGGACGAGTCTTGTCATAACCGGTCCAAATCTGTGGTCGCCATTGACTGCATGATGTTGACCCCGTTGTTATCCGTGGCGATCGAGTAGTGTCGATAGGTTAGGAACTCGGGTGACATTCGCCCCCCGCGATTGGGCGACGTGACGACGGCGCTGTTGCCATTCCCGTTGCCCATTCGAGTCAAGGTGTGGGTGTGGCCGTTGTGAAATTGGAGCGTGTTGTGCCCATAGTTCAGCGTGCCCAAGCCATTCGTCCCGTTCGGCGGGGTGAGCGCCTCCGTGACGCCGAGGTGGTTGTTGTGATGGTCACTTTTCCCATTTTCTTCTTCCCGTGTCGCACCAGCTCGGCGACTCTTTTTCAACTTGACGCAGGTGAGGATGGTCATCAACACGATGAAGACGACGACACCCACCGCCGCGCCGACAATGACGCCCATGCGGCGTTGGAGGATGGAGAATTTGTCCGAGCCAGAGACCGGGATGGAGGTGCGGACCTGGGGGAGAAAAAGGCAGAAATTAGTAAGTGCTTGTAAAACTTGGAAATATTGAACACGCAAATATTTTTGAAATCTAGCAATGTGCTGTCTAATTTTGTCTCAGAAATGTTGAAAATTACGCAAATTTAAAGAATACTTGATAAATTGATGGCTGATTGATATTAGCGAAAACTTGAAGATTTTTAAAACTTGAAATCTTGAAAACTTGGAGAAAACACAGTTTGAAGACCTGGGTTATAAAGTTCCTAAATTAAAAGTTAAGAAATATTTAATCAGCGTGTGGTACTAACAAATTGCGAAAATTTGTAAAATATAAAAACTTCAAGTATCAAACCTGTAACTTGAAAATCGAAATGGGTTTCGAAAAATATTGTTTCGTTAAGGCTCCAATTAATTTTAGAATTAATTCTCTAATCATTCACGGAAATTTAAACTTTAAAATGTGAATTGCGAAGATTCAGCGTCCTTAAATTATTTACAGGAAAATTTGTAAATGTAAAGTTAAAAGTTAGATTATGATCAATTTCCAGTTTGTCAAGTTCTTCTTAATAAATTTCGGATATTGTTCCAAAGTATTTCTATTGTTTCGTATAAATTAAAACAGGTTGTAATACTTAATTTTTTAAATTAATACCTATTGTATTTTGATACATCTCGAAATTAGGTGTGAGATTGGAAACATAAATTGTCAACTTTTTTGAATTGAGAATTAAAAATACTCTTATGATTTCAAATGAGTATAAAAACCTACTCCAAGCAACTTTGCGGGGCCTTTTAAGATGGCATTAATTCCATCTTCCATTCCATCTTGGTAGTTAATGGCAACACATTTGGGTGGAAAAGACCCCCACCGGTCAACCACTTGGCCGATCATGCCCATCTTCGAACTCATCTTTACTTTTGACCCGAAGATCAAGTGTACAAAATTTCAAGTCGATAGAATGTGTTTAAAGAGAGTTATCGTGCGTACAGACAGACGGACGGACAGACAGACATCCTGACAAATCTATAAGGCCATCTTAAAAGGCCTAATAAAAGGCCTAAAAATGTAGGAAATAAATTAACCCATACATCAATGTACAGTTAAATACTTTGTACAAAAAATGTCTGGGAAATTTTGGTTTTTATATCACAAATTGTGAGAAATTTCCGTTGAGTTGAAAAATTATTTAATTTGCGAGGTTTCAGCGTCGTATGTTGTTTAAACTCAAATCATGCTCTAAACATAAATTTACAGATTGGGTATCTGTCTTTTTCTAAATGTAATTCAAGTTAAGATTTGTACTTCAGTCAGGTTCAAAAATATATTTTTAAAATTGCATCACATGACCTCTTAAATTCTGTACGCAATTTACCCAGATATATGTAACCCAATATTTCGTAACATAATCTTCGATATAATTTATCCAATTTGCAAATTAAATGGACGAATTGCATATTTTAATTTATAAATTCACAACTTGTAACCAAAATTAAGAAATTTAATTTCAATCAAGGTTTGATTTTAGAATTAAAGATAGTTCTTTATTTAACCAATCACGGAAATTTAACTGCAAAGATTCAGGTCCCTCAAGTTATTTACAAGAACATTTGTAAACTTAAAGTTCAAGTTGGATTATGTACATCATAATAAAAAATTTGCTCATGGTTTCAAACTAAGAAATTTCGGAATTAAATTAACCCATGATTTTGCAACGCTTCAACTTTTTACGGCATTTCTATATCTGCGTAAACAAGTACAGGTAAATACTTCATGCAATAAAAATGTCTGAAAATTTTGATGTTAATTTAATTATATTACAAACAAATTGCGAGAAAATCCCTTTGAGTTGACAAATTATTTAATTTGCGAGGTTCCAGCGTCGTATGTTATTTAAGTGCAAATTATGCTTTTTGAATAAAATTATAGGTCAGGTATTGTTCGTCCAAAATCTAATTGAAGTTAAGATTTTTATTTTTGTTCAAAAATATATTTGAGAAATTACGTCACATAACCTCTTAAATTCTTCGTAAAATTTACCCTGATATTTGTAACCCAACATTTTGTAACATAATTTGCAATATAATTTATCCAATTTGCAAATTAAATTTACGAATTGCATGTTTTAAATTATAAATTCACAACTTGTAACCTGCAAATTAAACCCGCAAATTAATTCCGCCTACCTTCGTGCATTTCGAAACTGGAGAGTCCCTGAGGACTGTTTCTGCGGAGAGGAGGGTGAGTGCACTGGTGGTGACGTTGGAGGTCGTGTCCTGCGCGAGGCCGAGGACGCAGACGAGATACGGCGTGTCCGACTCGAGGTCTGGAATCCGGTACGCTTTCGACACGGCCGGAAGTGGGCGCGTCCACCGAATTTGGTCGTCGTGGTTGAGGGCGTGATAACCAATCATGTATCCCTGCATCGCCGAGTTGTTCCGTCCTTGCCACGAAATTATGGCCGAGGAGGGCTGCACATCCTGAAATTGGGGAATATTTTTGTACTCAGAAATATTTTGGATAAAAATATACCACTTTGATAAATTGTCACATTTTTGTATTTAGATAATTTTAGAAATAGGTTGGATAGAAATGCATGACTTTGACAACTCGTCTTATTACAATCTATGGTTAAATCTTTTCATGTTATTGAAGCTTTTTTATTCTTTTGTTATTGAATTAATTATCATGTTTTAAATAAGAAAATAATATAAAATCCAAAACAGATATTAAGTATTTAAAGCGATGTGCTTATTATTACTATTACGCATGATTTGGCACCATGACCATTGACCTTCACGGTAGCCAATTAATTAACCGTCTTTATATTTTAAAAATTAGGCATTGACGTCGAAAAACAGAACTACCTACCTAAAACAAACAATACCTGTGATTACTTGAGGTATTAAATTTTAGTAAAATTTTGCAAATGACGCCAACTTGTAACATATTAAAATATAAAAATTATCAGTGAAGACACACTTTCGTGTTGGATGAAAATGGTAAAAAAATGTTTCTGAAAGTATCTCTATATATGTATAAATTTTGTAAATTTCCTCAATGTGATATTATTCGTTGAATAAATTAGACGCAATTTGTGTAAAAAATGTAAAATTTTCAACATTTTCAAATCTGCAACAATTTAAAAAATATATTGAGCTCCTCAGAATGAGAAAATACTTACGAGGAAACATTAAAGTTCAGTCGTTTGTTAAGTTCCACGTTCAATTTTTTAAATAAATTTCTGGAAACTTAAAATTATGTGGTTGCTTAATTGCTTAATTACAGCTTAATTGCTTTATTTTATTTGCATGAAAGTGATACTCATCTCTCTACGTGCATAATCTCACATGACAAAAAAGTCCAAAAATCTAATCTCCTCTCCACCACCACCACCATCACTCCCTAAAAACCCACTAATATTAAACCCCCTCTTAATTAAATATTCATCAACGGCTAAGCTCCCATAAACAAAATCTTCCCCAAACCCTACCAATCCTAAACTTATTCCAGTACGGAATTTAATTGGCGGAGTAAAATAAAAATTTTCCACAATTTCACCACAAATAGAAACTTTAGAATTTTTAAAACTTGGCAAATTACTAAAAGCTAGCGTCCCACGGGCACAATAATGCGCAATTAATCGTTGCACTGATGACGGTAAATTTCCCAATAAATTATTAATTATTAAATTACACTCTTTTATTTTATCACTTTTTTCATATTTTTCCTCATGAAAATCTACCAAAGTAAAACACGGAAAAAATTGATTTCTCGGAATATAATTTAAATAAGGTAATTTCGCAAATGGTGAAATTAACAATAATTCCGATGGCAATTTATTAAATGTAGAAATAAACCCGTTTTTTATACACTTTTCAATAAATTGCGTAAACTTTATATTTTTCACTTTACAATAATTCTTTATTTTTGTTAAATCCAGTTTAAATTCCGTAATTATTTTCGTATTTATCGCTAAATCTGAATGAAACTGGTTAAACTCGGTTAAAATATTTTTTAACTGTGTTCCAAAATAATGCGGAGTTTTTAACCTCGTGAGCCACGATACTTTCTCAGATTGCGTTGGTAAAAACGGATTAACAAAATAATCTGGAGTCTCATCTAACAAATTTGACACGAGATTAACCCAACTGATCCCATCGCCGTAAGAATGATGGAAAATTAGGACTAAATAATTCTCGATGTTATTGTTCTCCACGTTATTATTTTCTGCGTTATTATTCACAACATAGTAAATCTTCCATTGCGGAATATTCCCCGATAATTTCGTATTAATTTCATTTTCCGTCAAATTTTTTAGCGACACATTTTTCAACTTTGCGATATGATTTGTCAAGTCTAATTCTCCCTTTGTGTAAGTGTAGAATCCATATTTTTCCGTTATACGATACGTTAATTTTTCGTAGGTCAGGGTTTTTAAGGTGCGATGAGTTTTTAAAAGAGTTTCAAATTTTTGGTAAAATTCTGCATAGAAATTCGCGTTTTTTGACGTGATTTTGAACTTTAGTATGATGTTTGACGGGGAATGGAGGGATTCATTGGCCCACGGAGAGTCGGACGGGGGCAGGAATTTTATTGGGAGCAAGGAGGTTAATAAGAGTTTGTAGATTTTTGAGAGGAGCGAGGTTACCAGGAGGAGGAGGAAGAGGGGGTAGGAAAATATGTAAATTAGGGGGTGGAGCAGGTATGTTTTTGTGGGGGATTTGTATTTTGGGGGGGATTTTCCCGTGGGGATGCTAATTTCCATGGTGATGAGAGTGTGTCTGTGTCTGTGCGTGTGTTTGTGTGTGTGAATATGTGTAACTGAGCATAAAGGAAATGAAAATGAGAGTGAGCGTCGTGTGTAAGAATAAAATTGCGAATAAAGTTGTGCAATTGCATGCTTAATGAGTTTTGAGGTTAAATTAAAAAAATTACGTAAGATATCTACAAATTGGTTGTCATGGTTACTGATTCTCATCAATGACCCACTTTTTCTTAAATATACGAGAGGAATATGCACAATGCAACCGTTTAATAAATGGGTTAAGAATGAGAACCATCCGAGATCGAAACTTGTTTAATAATGGTGTGTAAAATGATGGACACCGGTTTTGACTGCTTCCATGGTAGTAAAATTGTGAATTTTCTTGTACTAATTAAGTTACCATGGAAATATGTATATGTGTGTAAAAGAGTACCGGAAATGTAGTACAAACCACTTTGTAATAAACCTTTGTAGATGTAGAGATCGTTTTTATAGATATAAATACGTAAATAAAAAGCGGCTATAAAATGTTTGTCATAATAACGTTAAATTTCCTTGGAAAGTAATAAAAATTAAAAATTAATGCTTAAAATTGATAAGACCATGCGAAGTAATGGGAGCAAGGTCAAAGTCAACATTTGCATATGCAACATTTGAAAGTACACTGTACTGATAGATATGTAAAAATGAAATTAAAAACTTTCGGATTGGCCACCTTTATCTACATAACTTAATTACAATATTCAATCTTATTGAAAAAGCGTAATACGGTTACAAATCGTGACAATTATTTATTCACGTCAACATATTATGTCGCATTTAAGCTATCGAATCGCATTTGGCAAATATTGGTAATAATTCAGCGAAGTAAAAAACATGTCCATTTGCTGGATAAATTTCTACAAAAATCCCAAGAATCCCAGAAATTCATGTTTTCCAAAAAGTTTTATGAAATCTACAAAACTTCGTAAAACGTGACAATTTCTATTAAGATGGTCAATTTGCAAAAGTCGTCGTGAGTGCGTCGAGTAGATAATTTTAAATTATACAGTGTAGCATGCTTGCGTGAAATTATTAATTTCACGCAAAAAATTAAGTACAGTGCAAAATTTCAAGCACGCAATTTTTTTACGTGAGTGCGTCTATTGATCTTGGAGATAAAAACGCGAACAGCAAGAGTGACAAAGTTTTTTTGTCATGTCATTTTATTTCCGTGATTTCGGAAGTAATGGAAATCCATAAAATCGGCTTAGCCTCCCATCCTGATGAAATATTCCTTTTAATCAATAATAAGACACTTGCTCTTCCATCCAACCTGCATCCCGGTAAATCTGCACGTAATGAAGAAGATCAGGGTTACGACTCGTAACTTACGAGGACACTCTTAAAAATCGGGTGACAAAATTTTAAGTGTTACTACGACTTGTGACAAGAATGAGGTCGAAATTGGTTAAAAATTTCAGTATGAAACTGGTGACAAATAACATGGTAATAAGTTTTCGTTACGAAATTAGTTATTATTACCAGATTGGTGGCAGGTATTCAATGACATGACAATTTGGAAGCGAATTTTAAAAAAGTTAACTTTAACTATGAAATTGGTGAGTACCAAATTAGCTACGCAAACTGGTAAAAATCATACTATGCAATTGGTAGCAAGTTCTATTATAAAAATAGGCAAATTATATGTTTAAAAATTGGCAAATTACATACCTAAAAATTGGCAAATTATATCTTTAAAAATTGGTAAATTAATTCAACATCGCAGCAAAATTGGCAACAAATTTTATTTCCAAATTGGTAAAAAGTACTTTCAACGTGTATCAAATTCCATAACAATTTTCATCAGAAAATTCGTAACACGCATCGCTGCAGCCTGTTTAAACATTCAAAGCAAATATAACAAACCGTCCGACTGGTAAAATATTACCAAACTGGTAAACCAATATGTTCCCTCCTTAATTTGGTAAAAATCCCTCCCAAAATTTCTAAGCGTGTGCCTCTCGCCATAATCAAGTCAAGAAGTCGTCATCCTGATGAAATGAAAAGCAATAAAAAAGAGAAAGCACTCGATCTTTCTTTCTCCTTCTCGGTTGGTTTGTTAACCTATGAAAAATTAATGACGACCAAATCCCATCGAAATAATCTTTCCTTGTCAGCCCCACCGCTCACTTATTTTCACCGTCTGCTTAAAATCTGGGTTTCTTTCATCTCTTCGTCTCCTTTCCCATCATCACATCGCCACATTCTCCCAAAGAAATCAATTCTTTGTGTGGTGACGGTCTGGCAAAAATGTGGCGGAGAAAGTATAAATGAACAGGGTTTGGTTTAGGACATGAACGACAGAAAGTGTGATTTCTTGTAACTTTCTTGCAATAAAGGGCGATGAAATGTGATGGGCGGTTTGTGAGTTAAAAAACCTATCCGTACAGCTTTGCTTAGCCCGAACCAGGGGTGATTAGTAAACCCATGTTTGTCAGTAGTTTTATGTAAAATTATGTGCTACTATTTTGCCTAATTCTTGCATCAATCCTTCGTATTACTAGGCTCCAAATTCTAAAAACCTACAGTGCAGACTTGATATAGCCCGAGTCAGGCCTAGTTGTGATTATCACCCTCATTCGACTTTTTTGCATGAAATTTTATCGTAAATGCATATGAACATATTAAAAGATATAGTGATATCCCCTGGTCACCAGTATTGACCATGAC